TAGGAGAGGTTCAGGGGGTACCTAGGGAATTAGGCAGAAAGTCCCTCGTCTCAGCAAATAACACGCATTCATGAAAGCAGCTACAAATCAGCGATCATTTAAGCAAAAGAAATGAAGAAGGAATGGTGTAATATTGAAGGTCCCTCTGGCTCTAAAACTCTCACTGATGCTCGTTTTCTGGAGAACTACATTTCTACATGTTTTCACTTTCTTTTTGTCTTTCCTATCAGTTTTATTTCTTACCTAAACTTCTTTCATTGATTACTCTAAGGACAGCTTAGCTTGGATTTTATTTTCAGGGGGGCTTATTTTCTGTAGTAGAAAGATCTTTATTTCCTTTTGTGCCGTATTTAGATTACCGTTCCAACTGTGTCTTTCCCACCTACCTTCCTCTTTATTATCTGGTTCCTTCTTCATCCTGAAATTTCCTGGGATGGTCGTCTCCTCCCCGCATAGTTCCCTTTCTACCCCCTTGTCTTTTTTCCCTGCTTATTATTTTTCTTCCATTTCGTTCATTTTTAGCTTCCCCATGACTATAACAGTTTAAAAGCAAAACCAAGAGAAAGTACCACACGGGAAAGAGCTAAACGGACACTGTAACGAGGGGGATTCAACTGTATCGTGAGGAGGAGTGAAAATCAGTTATCTTGTCAGTACTGACTAGGGAGGAATTAGAATCACCTGTAAAGCACAGAAAACAGCAAAATTTAAGAGTGTGTGACAAGACTGCCTAATAATAGCTGAAAACACAAGAGATGCGCAGGGAGTTTAAATGTGGAAAGGTAGATAACATACTTACATCTAAAAAGCCTGTATATACCCGCACAGGTAAATGAAACTTAGAAGCATTGGTAATAAGTAAGATATTATTATCTATGTGCATGGATGACGTGGATGGCATAAAAAACAGAGTAAAAATATATCCTGATTCATTTGGAAGAATTAAGACTGGTTTGCTGAAGTTGTGAACCTGGAAATGATGGGAGAGAAAAAAATAGGACGTCAGCATCGTCTGGTTGGTAGATCAGTAAAATGAAAAGTATGAGGGTTCCCGGACATACTTTAAACATTGTTTTGGCTTCTTCTGGTAGTAACACATCATGAATGAGGATCGCAAAACTGAAAGTGTTAGTAAGGGAAATTGGCCTTTCCACAGGATCAGCAGGGCTGTCTCGGATGTGAAATAATGTTGCAGCGTGATCAAATCCCAAATAACTATTTGAAAAAAACAAAAACAAAATAAATCATTTTTTATTTCCATGTGTTAATTTAAAATCCAAGTTCTTTTGCTGTGAGTAATAATTTACGTTTAGCATTAAGGATTGTCATTAGAGAATTGAAAGTATAAATATTTTAGTGACTGACCACATGATTTAAAGCAAAATTTAGCTTGCAAAATACTAAAGTATAATATAAAGAACTATTCACCACTGCATCACATGTAATCAAAGAATTAGAATCAGGGATGTATTAACAAAAAAAAAAGTTTAAAGCTACTTAAAAAAAATCATGTTTATCATTCAACTGCAACCAGCTTTGTTAAAATCAGTCTCTACCAAGTTGGATATTAAACTATCGCTGGTTAAAGTATAATCAGAAAACAACTATATATTACTGCCCATCTATAAAAAGCTGTAACTCTAGAACAGCGTTTAACAACATAAAGGAATATAAATGATTTTGTTTCAAGTGATGTATGTCAATACTGAGCCATAGCCACTCGCATGTTACAAAAAGAATTATAGAAAGGAAATGACTCAAAAGATTTAAAAATCAGAGATTCATTTTTCTACTGTATTATGGAATCGTTAAGACTTAAATAACATGTAAGCCCTAATCATATCACCCCATTTACCTTTTTCTTCTAAAAAAAAAGTTAAAAAAAACCCCCACAAACCCCTAATACAGGAGATTTTTCTCTTTTATAGTTGAAGTTGTTTTTCTCAACACTAATTCCATGGAGTTTATGTGAATTTGGCTCCTACTTTTGCTAAGGTCAATTAGTAGGAAAACAGAATTTACTGATTAGTAAAAAGTTACAAAGTTTATTTTAAAGAGAAACTCACCCATCTAAAACCTCTGCTTGATATGGTATTTCAAGTTTAGAATAACTCTTTTCTTTTGCTTTAACAGTTATCTTCCCAGAAAACTGAGATGGTTTTTTCGCTTTTGATGCTGAAAGGAAGCATAAAAAATAATCTGTCACCTTTTGCTACCAAAATGTTCACACAGAGTATTAGAGTGACTATGTGTGGATTGACAAAATCTTAAACAGAAAGCTGGGCTTTCAAACTGGCAAACAGAATACTTCTACAACATTTTAAGTCAAATACCACAGTTTTCCGAGAAAAAATGAAAGATATTTTAATTTTCCTGCAATGAGATAAACAGATAAGGAATTAGCAAATGGACACAATTTAGGAGGGAAAAACACTGTATCTGAGCTACATCTCTGGAGCCATGAGCTTTGGCTTTACTTACAGCAGGGTTTCTCAAGCTTGGCACCATGAAAGTCTCGGGCCAGGTAAATTCTCTCCTGGGGGTGGGAGGGCTGTCCTGTGCACCCAGGATGTTTAGCAGCATCCAGGGCTTCTGCTTGCTAGGTATCAGCCATGACAACCAAAAGTGTCTGGAGACATTTCCAAATGTCCCCTGAGAGGCAAAATTGCGCCCCTCCCCCCACATCCCCATCCCCCACATTAAGAACTGCTGGTTTACAGCTGTATTAAGAAATAACATTCCTTGTGTGGCCAGAGTCTTGCTATAAATAGCAGTAAAGCAGCATGGTGCAAGAAATGTCAAGAGTTATGAGCTCTGACTTATTATTATTAGCCAACCCTAACTCACAGTGTCAGAGGAGCCACACACCCTCCCTTGCCATCATACTGTCCTCACAGACGAAGTAAAACCTTTACATTTTGTAGCACTTGTGAACAATTCCATCTGGATTTACAGAAATAGATTCAGTAGGATCCAATCTGGGTACCCATTAGATGCTCCTTTCACAGCAAATAAAGAAGCTGTTTATCTTTACCCTCTTTAAAGTACTTCAGGAATACTTCCACTTATGAGAAGAATTTATATGTAAGTTCTGCAAATGTGTGTTATACAACTGTAGCACAAAAAAGAACAACAAAAAAAATGGCATGACATCTAGTTTGTGGCTATGTACAGACGGTGTGAATTCAGATTTTTAAAACTCCCATTAAGCCTCATTCCTTCCTACTTACTGTATGTACAGCCATTTCTGGATGCTTTTTTATTTTTTCGCTATTTATTCTGACATAAGGCTGATCATAAGGATCATAATTTAGAAGCTGCACAGTATCTTGTCATGTTATATTTTAACAAATAAAGTGGTCAAAGACCTCAAGAAAATTCAGTTAAAAAACAAAGATTAGTGCCCTGACTTGATGAGACAGATGCCTGCTTGGTAAGTGAATACCATGGAGTTAATTAATATATATGGTGCACTCTGAAAAATGTAAAAGTTAAGTAAAACATACATTTCCTGACTGATTTTCACAGCAATCTCAGTGGCATTTTGAATTGGAATCTGGGGTGAGGGTGGGGTGGTGGGAGCTGGCGGGATTTTCCCATGACACTAAAAACCACTTTTAAGAAATGTAGCACTTGCTTTAAAAGACACTTTCCCTTTGTCTTAAATTTTACATAATTTCTTTAAGAAATACTTCTAGAGTCTATGATCTCGGAAGAACCACCATTACTGACGTGAATTTATCACAGGAGAAAGTCACCAGGCTGTCAGCACAGGAGCTGGAGAAGAAGAGTGTGGGAGAACCACCCAGCACAGCTGCCCAGGGTGTACCCCCTACTCCCTGGTTTATCAGCAGGATGGGTCCTATATGTTCTTGGGGTTAGAAATGATGACTGGTCACTCTCTTTCTTGGTGAGGGAACAGAATGGACCTGCTCACACTGATACTGATGCTGATGGTCACGACTGTTACCTTAGCAACATGGAAGACAATAAATCTGAATGTGAAAATAACTGTGGCATCAAACTGTCTACAATACTGATTATTTCTTGACAGCTGGATCATGAAAACATGCCATCTATTTAGTCTTGATTTGTTTGGGAGTCTTCTCTGAGCTCATGGGAGGAACACTGTGCTGGCAGCCAGCCTGTGCAGTGGCTCCAGATTTTCCCCAGAACTCGCATGTGTGTGCAGTAAGTAAACACAGATGCTCTCACAAACCCCGTGTGACACCCAGTGGGTCACTCAGTGACCAGATGTTCTCTTCTGATGAGGAGCTTAGCTGTAAGATAGTCCACATAAGCAAAGATGACTTTACCATGAAGTCAAAGTTTAAGCTTAAGGGCTCCTCACTTGAATGTGCCCTTATGAGAAAAGCCCCATTTGGAGGTTCAGTTTTCATTAAACTTAATTACATGTACAATGCAGTTAGACAGTCCTAAAGACACTATTTAAAAAGTTTTATGCCCACAAATTCAGTAAATGTTCTAGCAAAG